GTAAGAGGATGGAACACAAGATTTCTCCTTTAGCTGAAGTGTGTCTCTGGATTTCAGGCCATGTGTTACATTTCTTCACTCAATATACATAATAACCTCCTGATCTTCTGATGGCTCCAACAAGAAAAAAAATCTCAGCATTTGTGTGGGAATATGGGAATAGCAGTGTGTATCATTGGAATTTCAATTCTGTCATGTACCAGCTGTGTGACCTGTGACAAATGTCTTAATCCCTCTGGGTCTCAGTTTCCTCATCTGTCCAATGGACATACCTAGTAAGGAATGAAAATTAATGTTGGTCAAGCCATCCATTGACTGTGGAAGTTCCTTAAGAATTCCCTTCCACAGTCTACTCAACAGTATATCTCAACAGTAGGCTTAAAATATTCAGTAAAACATGCTGTAAAGAGATGTACTGTCATCTAGACTTTGTTGCTCCATTTATAGAGCACAAGCAGCATAGATTTAGCATAATTCTTATGGGCCTTAAGATTTTCAGAATGGTAAATGAGCATAGTTTCAACTTAGAGTTAACAGCTGCATTAGGCCCTAACCAGAGAGTCAACTTGTCCTTTGAAGCTTTGAAGCCAGGCATTGACTTCTCCCTGGCTATGAAAGTCCTCAATGGCATGTTCTTCCAATAGAAAAGAATTTCATCTATGTTGAAAATCTGTTGTTTAGTGTAGCCACCCTCCTCAGTGACCTTAGCTTCATCTTCTGATTAAGTTGGTGCAGCTTCTACATCATCACTTACTGCTTCACTTTGCACTTCTGTGTTACACAGATGGCTTCTTTCCTTAAACCTCGTGAACTGTGCTCACTTCAAACTTCTTCTGCAGCTTCCTCACCTCTCTCAGTCTTCAAAGAATTAACGAGAGTCAGGGTCTTGCTCTGGATTAGGCTTTGGCTTGGGAACGTTGTGGCCGGTTTGATCTTCTATGTTAGACTACTAAAACTTTCTACATATCACCATCAGGCTGTTTTGCTTTCTTATTATCCATGTGTTCACTGGAGTACCACTTTTAATATCCTTCCAGAACTGTTCCTTTACACTCACAAGTTGGCTAACTGGCACAAGAGGCCTAGTTTTTGGCCTGTGTTGGCTTTCGACATGCCTTTCTCATTAAGTGTAATCATTTCTAGCTTTTGATTTAAAGTGAAAGATGTATGACTCTTTCTTTCACTTGAACACTTTGAGGCCATGAAGGATTCCTAGTTGGACTAATTTCAGTAGTATTGTGTCTCAGGGAATAGGGAAGCCTGAGGAGAGGGAGAGACATTGGGGAACAGCCAGTCTTTGGAGCAATCAGAACACACACAACATCTATCCACTAAGTTTGCCATCTTATATGGGCACAGTTCACCTCAAAGCAATGACAATAGTAACATCAAAGATCACTGATCACAGATCACCATAATAGATATAACAATAATTAAAAAGTTTGAAATTGTGCAAGAATTTCCAAAACATGACCTAGAAACATAAAGTGAGCACATGCTGTTAGAAAAATGATGCCAAGAGAATTGCTCACTGCAGGGTTGCCAGAAAAATGCAGTATCTGTAAAGCACAATGAGACGAGCTATGCCTGTACACATTATAGTTCTCATTTCAGATGAGGAAACTCAGTCCGAGTGAAGCCTCCTGCCCAGCAGCAAGCAAGTGGCCCAGCCAGAATGTGAATGTAGCTTTGTCTAATGCAGGGATGACAGACTCACACAGGTCATGCAAATGGATTTTTAAAGGATGGAATGAGTTAAGGCAGGTGAGCGGAGCCTGGCAAATAGTAAGCGTGGCATATGCGCTTGCTAATATTAATATTATGATGACAACGACCTTTGAACCACCAGATTGAAACCTCTGCTCTAACACCAAATTTTGCACTCTTAATCTCTTAGCTGGTTCTGGAACAGGGAATTCCACCCAGGGCCACCGGGAAAATATGCCGTGGTCCCAGCTGCCTCCACTCAGCCTTTGGGGTATGGACCAGAGTTCCTTGGATGCCAATGAGTCCAATTCTCTTGAAGTAGCTTTTCCGGTTTGGAGTACCCCATCCTCCCATGCCCAGACCTTGAAGGTCCAAAGTGCTCCCTGGGGGCCTTGTCCCTCATACACTGTTGCCTGGAGCCTTTGATGAAGCCGGCTATTGGACTGACTCAGGATCAAGTCCCAGCCTGAAAGGTCATGGAAGACAGTTTCATCATAGCTTGGAATGGGTCCATTGGGAAATAACTGGCCCTCAGGGTTTATAGGAACGGCATCAGCATGATCTGGGTGGGAGGCGAGTGCTACACCTCTTCTTGGGTCTTTCTCTTGCTATCTCTTGGCCTCCCAAATTTCAGATTTTGTCATCAAATTTTTGGAATTTTGCCATTGCCGTGTGCTCCGGCACTCTGAGTTACTTGGCATTTTTCTTTGAGTTGCTTTACATTGTAAACTTAAATAGATTTAAGTTAAAAGGAGAGCCTTTTAGAAAAAGTTGTAGGCTTTAATAAAAAAACAAAAATCACAGCCAGGTGTGGTGGCTTATGTCTGTAATCTCAACACTTTGAGAGGCCAAGGCAGGAGGATCACTTGAGCCCAGGAGTTTGAGGCCAGACTGGGCAACATAGCAGGACCCTATCTCTACAAAAAATAAAAGAAATTAGGCAGGCATGGTGGTGCGTGCCTGTAGTTCCAGCTACTCAGGATGCTGAAGTGGGAAGATTGCTTAAGCCAGAGAAGTCAGGCTGCAGTGAGCTGTGATCAGGCGACTGCACTCCAGCCTGGGTAACAGAGCGAGGCCCTGTGTGGAAGCAACAACAACAACAACAACAAACAAACACACAAACAAAACCAACAAAGCCAAAACCAAAACCAAAAAGCACTGTCCTTAAGAAGTCAAAAGTTATTATAGGAATAAATTAAATAAAAATAAAATAATATTGTCCGGTTCAGAAAGAGGCCACTGTTTCTGACTCCAAACCCCTTCTCTGTCTGTTACAAAGGAAGGTTTATAGGTGATGAGGTCTTTTTTTTTTTGAGATGAAGTTTTTCTCTTCTTGTCCAAACTGGAGTGCAATGGTGCTCCCAGGTTCAAGTGATTCTCCTGCCTCAACCTCCCAAGTAGCTGGGATTACAAGCGCATGCCCCCACGCCTGGCTTTTTTTTTTTTTTTTTTTTTTGGTATTTTTAGTAGAAATGGGGTTTCGCCATGTTAGCCAGGCTGGTCTTGAACTCCTGACCTCAGGCGATCCTCCTATCTTGGCTTCCCAAAGTGCTGGGATTACAGGTGTGAGACACCGCGTCTGGCCGGCGATGAGGTCTTAAAAAGATGCTGACACCCAGCTGAGACTCTCTCCATGGTATAATGAGGAGTTAAAGAAAAGCGACACAGGATAACTTGCACTTTCTGTGATTCAGTGTTATTTAAATGCCCGACGTGAATTTATCTGTGTTTCCTCACTGGTACGCCTCTCACACTTTGAGAAATATTCCACCATCTCATATTTGATCCCAGTACCAGTTCCTCTCTCATAGCCTCATCAGACTTTCCACAAGACCTGCCAGCTCTGCTGGCAAAGTACATCCAGCATGGAATCCTTTCTACCGCCTCTGCTCTTACTACTCTGGTCCAAGCCACCATCATCTTAGCCTGAGGTATCTTTGAAATAAAAAGCACACGCACGAGGATGGCTATCATAAGAAAGGCAAATAATAACAAGTGTTGGGAAGCTGTAGAGAAACTGGACCCCTCTTACACTGCTGGCGGGATTGTGAAATAGTGCAGACACCCTGGAAAACAGCCTGGCAGTTCCTCAAACAAAAGCACTCTAACAAAACGTTAGACACAGAGTTACCTTATGATCCAGAAATTCCACTCATAGGTAGGTACCTAAAAGAAATATAAACATGTCCAAAAACTTGTACACTAATGGTCAGGGCGGCGTTATTCATCATAGCTAGAAAGTTCAAACAGTCCAAATGTGTCTTAACTGATGAATGAGTCATAAAGTAGGGTACATCTATACAATGAAATATTACTCAGCAATAAAAAGAAATGTAGTGCCAATGCATGCTATGACATAGATGAATCTTGAAAGCATTATGTTAAGTAAGAGAAGCCAGACACAAAAGGACCGCATAGTATATGACTCCATTTATATGAAATGTCCAGGATAGGCGAGTCTATATAGACAGAAAGTATCTTAGTAGTTGCCTGGGACTGGTGAGGTTGCAGGGGGGTGGGGAGTGACTGTTAATGGGCATGAGGTTTCCTTTTGGGGTGATGAAAATGTTGTAAATTGATTGTAATAATGGTTGCATTGTGAGTGTCCTATAAAACCATTAAATTACATATACTTTAAAAAAATATTTTTTATTTTCGAGACAGGGTCTCGCTCTATTGCTCAGGCTGCAGTATAGTGGTGCAAACACCATTCACTGCAGCCTTGACGTCCTCCTGTCTGAGCCTTCCGAGTAGCTGGGAATACAGGCACATGCCACCATGCCTCGCTAATTGGCATATTGACTTTTAAATAGGTGAATTATATGCTCTGTGAACTATATCTCATTAACACTGACTTTTTTAAAAAAAATGAAAGCAGAATATGCCACTCTGCTTAAATCTCTATAATGGCTGCTCTTGTCGCTGAGTGTGAAAGTCCTTACGTGGGCTTTTGGGATCCTGCTTTGAGTCCTTGCTGGCTGTCTGTGACCCTGTCTCTGCACTCCGGTTCCTTGATGATGCTAAGAACTGCCATGTTGGCTGCTGCCTTAGAGCCATTGCATTGGACTTCTCCTTCCTAGAATGCTTCCTTTGCATACCCAGAAGTTCACTTGTTCAGTTTCTTTAGGTCTCGGTTTAACTTAGGGTCCTCTTGTTGGACATCTTCCCTGACCACCTTGCCTACAACAGCACCTCCAACGCATCGCTGTCTACTTCCCTGTGCTGCTTCCTGTGTTTTCTCCCCAGACTTGTCATATCTTCATCTTTTGATTATACTCAAAAATGAGTAAAATACATTTTACTCATTTGTTTGTTTATTATTTGCACCTGTCATCATGTAAGTTTCATGAGGTCAGGGATTTTAGTTTTTTAGACTTATTCATTACTATATATACAGCCTGGTATAAAAATAAAAAAACATGATGAAAGGTATGTCTGATTAATCCCAAGTTTACTAACGAGCAAAACCAAGTCTGGTAGGTATTCAAATATTATTAATAGTTAAGTAAACACTGACAAGGCACCTAGCATAGACCATGCCCAGGTCCCAGAGGTGCTGGGTGTCAAGATTCTGTACTAACTTAGGAGGGTTGCAAGACCTAGGTTGAAGCCTTTTAGATGTGATGTGATAAAAAGCAAATTCACATTTCCCAGCTTTCACCAGAATCTGGCAAAGGATGAATTAGATTTTTAGGGACAGTGGTTCTCAATCCAAGCTACACATTAGAATCTGCTGGGAGCTTGAAAAAAAAAATCCTGATGCCCAAGCCACACCCTAGACAACGAAATCAGACTCTCTGAGGATGGAGCATCAGCACTTTTAATGCTCCTCAGGTGATTCCGATGTGCAGCCAGGGCTGAGAACCACTGTGCTAGAAGTTTAGAGAAGGGCGGGTAGCACCCTTGTTATCCGAGGGGAATGAGTGTTGGGAAACAGTCTCCTGACCGAACACACTCAAAGTGTCGACAACTCCTTTAATATGAATACTTTCGGCAGTTTGAATCACGGTGCGACGGAGGAGTAGGTGGTGGGATCTCGCCGTGGGTCTGATTAGCTCTTTCTCCGCCTTGCTGGCTTGAGCTTCAGCAGAATTCGAAATGGCTGGAGGTAAGGCTGGGAAGGACTCCGGAAAGGCCAAGACAAAGGCGGTTTCTCGCTCACAGAGAGCCGGCTTGCAGTTCCCAGTGGGCCGTATTCATCGACACCTGAAATCCAGGACGACCAGCCATGGACGTGCGGGCGCGACTGCCGCTGTGTACAGCGCAGCCATTCTGGAGTACCTGACTGCAGAGATGCTGGAACTGGCAGGAAATGCATCAAAAGACTTAAAGGTAAAGGTATGACCCCTCGTCACTTGCAACTTGCTATTCGTGGAGATGAAGAGTTGGATTCTCTCATCAAGGCTACAATGGCTGGTGGTGGTGTCATTCCACATATCCACAAATCTCTGATTGGGAAGAAAGGACAACAGAAGACCGTCTAAAGGATGCCTGGATTCCTTGTCATCTCAGGACTCGAAATACTCTAACAGCTGTCCAGGGTTGGTGATTCCAGTGGACTGTATCTCTGTGAAAAACACAATTTTGCCTTTTGGTAATTCTATTTGAGCAAGTTGGAAGTTCAATTAGCTTTCCAACCAACCTAATTTCTGCATTCGAGTCTTAACCATATTTAAGTGTTACTGTGGTTTCAAAAAAGCTATTGATTCTGAAGTAGTGGGTTTTGATTGAGTTGACTGTTTTTAAAAAACTGTTTGGATTTTAATTGTGATGCAGAAGTTATAGTGACAAACATTTGGTTTTGTACAGACATTATTTCCACTCTGGTGGATAAGCTCAATAAAGGTCATATCCCCCCCCCAAAAAAAATATTTTAAATTTAAAAAATTAAAAAAAAATAGATTAAATTCTCTTGAACAATATAAACTGCAATTATAAATCTTAGTAAAGCCTTTTTTTTTTTTCTTTGAGATAGGGTCTTGATCTGTCACCCAGGCTGGAGTGTAGTAATTATAGCTCACTGCAGCCTTCACCTCCGGGGCTTAATCAATCCTTGCACTTCAGCCTCTCGAGTAGCTGAGACTACAGGCATGCACCACCATGCCCTGCTAATTTTTGTGGTTTCTTTGTACAGACAGGTCTTGCTATGTTGCCCAGGCTGGTCTCAAACTCCTGAGATCAAATGATCCTCCTGCCTCAGCCTCCCAGAGTGCTGAAATTACAGGCGTGAGCCACTGCACCCAGGTGAGCTGATCCTTTTTTATTTTATTTTTAAAAGAGAGGTGGTATCTCAGTATGTTGCCCAGATTGGTATCAAACTCCTTGTCTCAATCAGCTCTTCTACCTCGGGCTCCCAAACTGCTGGGATTACAGGTGCAAGCCACCATCGCCGGCCTCCGAGCAGATTATTTTGAATGGTTCAAGCATATTAAACAGCAGACCAAATGTACACAACTTCTTTGCTGATAAGACTTATAAATTCTTATCTTTACGCCAAGGTCAGTTATAAAAGTGCTGAACTCATAGAATTTACTTTGTTTTTTATTTATATTTTCAGGACTTTGCAAGGTTCTAATTTTTACCTCTCCTAGATACAACAACAAAGAAAAAAATCTTCATGGGCATTTTGGTAATCTCACCCAGACTCAAAAGCAAAGGAGTGCTGTCTCAAACATGCTATGTCTATAGGAGCTGAGTTACCAACTGGCTGACTTCTGATCAGAACATTTTGGATCTTGTCGTATATTTCAAGATGATTCAGGTCCATCTTGAATGATCCAGAGTGTTTGAGCAGTGTGCTTAGTTCCTTTCTGTAATATAATTTTCCCCTGCTATAGCAGGGGCTTACTTCCTTTTTGTAATATCATTTTCCTCTGCTATATCAGGTGCCCATAAGTCTCTATATTCTATGAAGCTTAATCTTGAAAGACTTGAGCTCCCCCCGACAAAGGAAATATTCTTTAAGTTTCGTGTGGTAGGCAGGAGTGACCCAATGGTCCTGGTATTTTGATAGACTGCAACAATGTCTGATGGCATTATTAGAAACATGTTTTTGAAAGAGTTCCATTTCTGGTTCTACTATAGAAAATGATGAGACTGTTGCTCCCACTCTAACACCACCCCATCAAAATAGGCTGTATTAGCTATAAGATCATAGTTTTAAAAACTTAATGGAAAGCTGAGGACACAAAGAAACCTAAAGGAGCTAAACTCCAAGAGGAAGTGCCAGTATCATCATAGGGGAGAAGAGACTCACAGCGGCTCCAAGTCCTGGCACAACTGCTGGAGAAAGAGGAGCCTGTCATGGATGGGCAGGAAGAAACCAGCTAAATTTTCAACAGCATGGGAGCTTCTGTGTAAATTATAATGAAGATGAACTCTACTAACTGAATAGGTCTGAATCTGCCCACCAAGTCTTACCGTGGGATTTATCAAGTGCAGGCATATTACACCAAACAGACGATAAGAGGAGGGCAAAGAAGGATTCCCCTGAGAGCAAGAGGGCATCTCTTAAGTATAAGACACTTTCAAAAGTAGGCACAGGGGAGCAGGTCAGGAGAACTGAGAGAAAACCTGAGGGTGGAAGAATTGAGAGATTCCCTCCCCTCCCAGGCATGTCTGGCTTTTGACTATCAGAGGCTGATAGTGAAAAGACACCCCTACCAGTCATTCCAAGCATTCAAAATGTGTAGAACCATAACCCTCCAAAGGCCAGATGAACAATAACTGGGCTGAAAGAAATCCTCTCAGATGCAGGAAATGGGGGGCAGGATTTGAGAAAAAAGAGAACTCACCAACCACCATAAAACCTCATGGCAACTTGGTTTACACAAGAGAGAGAACTCCCAACATTCCAAAATTGGGCAGCTCTACTGGGAAGCATCAGCAGATTCCTAAAATCTCAACAGTGCTCAAGTCTCAAATCCTGCTGAAGGAAAAGTTCTAAACCAACTTTCAAAATATTTAGAGCCAGTGATGAACTGAAATAAACTAAAACTGCACCAAACCTGAAACCCAGCTCAATCACAAGTAAGATTGGTTAACTTCACACTACAGGTAAAACCGATTAACTCCATACTGCAGGTAAGATTGGTACTGCATACTCTTATCAGTTTTACAGAAAAAGGGGAGTACCCCCTTCTGGAGGTAAATATTATTTACTTCATTCTCTACTGTTCCTTCTGTGAAAAATGGCTAAAACACCTTCAGAGATTAGCAAACACACCGACAGTTATCAGAGAAAAGTATTAATAGAAGCAGATTCAGATTTAGCCTAGATTTTGGAATTCCCAGAGACTTTAAAAATCTATAACAAAAATGCTAAAAATGAAAGACTCTAAAGAACAACAGGCATAAACAAATGGAAAACTTCAAAGACTTTAAAAATCTACAACAAAAATGCCAAAAATGAAAGAATCTAAAGGACAACATGCATAAACAAACGGAAAACTTCAGCAGAGACCTGGAAACTATTAAAAGAACTAGTGAAAATTCCAGAGATGAAAAATACAACATCAGAAATGAAGGCTTAGATTGATAACGTTCTGGGCACAACAGAGACAGGAATCAGTAAAGACAGGTCACAGAAAATGCCTGTTTGAAATGTAGACAAGAAAAAGTGAAGAAAAAAAAAAAGAGTCTGAAATTTGGAAGGTGATACCAAATGCTCTAACATAAATGTTATCATAATTCTAGAAGAGCAAAAGAGGTGTTTGAAGATATAATGACTGAAAATATTCCCAAATTGATGAAAGATGTCAATGCACAGATCCAAGCAGCTCAGCAAACTCCCAGTAGATAAATACAAAGGAAATGCTGCACCTAAATGTTTCAGTCAAACTGCTGAAAGCCAAAGATAAAGAGATATTACAAGTAGCCAGAGAAAAAACAGGACATTACTTACAGGGGAACAATGATATGAAGTGATGGCTAATTTCTTACCAGGAACAATGTAAAATTGAACACAATGGAGTCACCCATGCTAGAGTTCCAGGTCACAAAACCTAAACTAAGTTGTTATCTGACCTTTTCAGAAATCAGGAGAAAGAGAGATAACAGCCCATTTCCCAAACAGGCCAGCTTAAATCTTCAGTCAGCGTGATGATGAAGTTCCTCTGCTTTAATCCTTACACTAAAAAAGGTAGCCTAAAGTAACCGGATGTTAATGAGTTTCTATTGCTCTGTCTAAAGTAACTAATAGACTTTTTGTTCTTTGTTTCTGCTTTCTTCAGTCCTTCTCTGTCTTTATAAAGCCAACCTCTGCTGCTCGGCTTATTGGAACATTTATTCTATTTGAGGAAATGAAGTGTTGCTCAATGTTAGAATTGCAAATAAAGCCAATTGAGATCTTTCAACTTTAGACATAAAGTTGAAAGATCACATAAAGTGATTTTGTCTTTAGACATAGCTAATGAGGAACAGATCAGGAACAACTGCACTTTCCTGGGGCTGTTGGGATGGATCAGAAAAGGCAGGATGAAGACAGCAAAAGCCAGAAGGAGGCTTCAGCTGTGAATCATATAGGAGGGCATGGAGCTTAAACTTCCTTCCTTCCTTCCTTCCTACCTACCTTCCTTCCTTCCTTCCTTCCTTCCTACCTTCCTTCCTTCCTTCCTTCCTTCCTTCCTTCCTTCCTTCCTTCCTTCCTTCCTTCCTTCCATCCTCTCTGTCTTTCTTTCTTTCTTTCTGAGACAGGGTCTCACTCTGTCACCCAGACTGGAGTGCAGTGCTGTGATCGCAGCTCACTGCAACCTCCACCTTCCATGCTTGAGCTATCCTCCCACCTCAGCCTCCTGAGTAGCTGGGACTACAGGTGCCTGCTACCACACTTGGCTAATTTTTGTATTTTTTGTGGAGATGGGGTTTCACTATGTTGGCCAGGCTAGTCTCGAACTCCTGAACTCAAGTGACACCCTCTTTGGCCTCCCAGATTGCTAGGATTACGGGCATGAACAACTATACTCAGCCACCATTATTGTAAGGCTCTTATATTGCTCCTAAAATAATAGATTATTATTCGAAGGTAGACTGTGATAAAGATGCATATCATAATCCCTAGAGAAACTGCTAAAATAATAAAACAGAAGAGAGGCTAAAAAGTTAATAGAGAGGCCGGGCGCGGTGGCTCAAGCCTGTAATCCCAGCACTTTGGGAGGCCGAGGCGGGTGGATCACGAGGTCAAGAGATCAAGTCCATCCTGGTCAACACGGTGAAACCCCGTCTCTACTAAAAATACAAAAAATTAGCTGGGCATGGTGGCGCGTGCCTGTAATCCCAGCTACTCAGGAGGCTGAGGCAGGAGAATTGCCTGAACCCAGGAGGGGGAGGTTGCGGTGAGCCGAGATCGCGCCATTGCACTCCAGCCTGGGTAACAAGAGCGAAACTCCGTCTCAAAAAAAAGAAAAAGAAAAAAAAAAAAAAGTTAATAGAGAAAATAAAATACACCAAAATATAATCAACTGATACAAAAGAAAGCCAGAGAGGTGGAAGAGAGGAACAAAGAACAAATAAGATCAATAGAAAGCAAACAGCAAAAAGAGACACTTAAATCCAACCAGATAAATAATTACGTTAAATGTAAATTGATTACACACTTCAATTAAAATATCAGAGAATGTTAGACTAGATTAAAAAAAAAGCAGAGTTCGTCAATACACTGTATATAAGAAACATACTGTACATATAGAAACAGACAGGTTGACATTTTTAAAAAGTGGAAAAAGATATACAATACAAACATTAAGCATAAGAAAGCTACTGTGGCTATTTAAATATTAGATAAACTGGACTTCAAGATAAAGGGCATGTATGGAGATAAAGAGAGAGATTTGAGAGTGATAAACTCTAGAGTGATAG